CCTTGAAAGCTTGCGAGATCTGGATGGTCTCACCAGGCTATCGCATGGCCAGACAAACCATGAAAAAAAATGCAACTTCTAGTCAGAAAAATACGGTATATTTACATGAATGCCAACAACAAAAAACCTTCTAAAATGTTCTGCAAAATGCTTTAAATCAGTCCTAGCTGTCTTTATCCATGCTGGCTTAGATCCTGACGTTTGGAAAAGGAGGCTGGGAAAGCAGGATAAAGCCTTAGCCTCGCTGCATGCAGTTAGCCTAGCCTTGGAGCTAAATAATCCTATAAACCTGTCAATCAGCCGCACTTTTTAACAGACGACTGTGACGTCAGAGGGAGATGGTGACTGAGGGAAGATTTATGGAATTATGTCACCAATCCGACAACAAAACGAAACAGCTTTACTCGTCATTAAAGATTGAATATTTATCTTGCACATCTAAAAAATATATTAATATATTTAGAAAATGTAGAACAGTGTTGCTGCTCTAACTGGAGTATTTATTTGGCTCCTGATTGGATTATTTGATCTGAAGCTCATTTAAACTCTGTAGTCTTTCTTCTAAACTTAGCTGATGTCTGCAGCAGGTGGATCCAAAGTCTGATCAAAGTCCTTTTTACATCCATGTAGTAATTATTGCAAAAAGCTGGAGATAAAACTTTGTTAAAGCCGTTTGATGCCAGGGTTCCCTCTAATGATGAAAAGGATTAGATTCTAAATAAAACAAACCTCTTATAATAAAATATGAATGAAATCAGCCTCTGAGTTTCTGCAGCTCATTAAATGAACGGAATGATTCCTGAACTGATCTGATGGCGATCAAAGCAGGAACGCATCGATTCCTTCTTCCTCTAGTATCACATCTCCAACCTTCTCGCTCTTCCGTCTCAGTATTAAACTTCCTGTCTTCACATGTCGGTTCATGACAGATGTGTTGGTTTGTTTTTGCTCGTGTTGAAGCTTCAGGTGATTCTCTGGAAGTTTAGTTTCTACAAACGGATCAGTTGTGAAACTCAGAGTCTGTCTGCGACTCGCCTTGAATAAAGTTCCATCCAAACGGACTGCGCTTCGTTAGCAGCCCACCGGTCAGATACCAAACTCTTCAAAGGTCTGCAGGTTGTCCTCAGGTTCCACAGGGATCAGAGACCAGAGATGATGAGAAAAATGTTAAACTGCGGCTGATCAATACCATCAATAACCTGATGGAGGCTCAGCCTGAAAGCTGATTAAAGGCAGCGGCGAGGCGGGAGGAGAAAAACCCACCGACCGACTCAGTGAATGAATGAGGAGGATGTGGAGCTCATGGAGGTCAAAGGTTAAAGCCATTAGTGGGATCCACAGTTTGGTCCAAGATGGTTCCAGGTCTTATTAATGTACCTCCAGCGTGATCACGTCTACCAGAGCAGCAGGTTTCTAGTTTGCTTCCCTGCAGGCTGCAGACGGATGTTACCAGCGTCTGAAACGACACCAGCAGTGATAAAGCTTCTAGTTAGAGCGGCTCAGGTTATCCTGATCTATCTCTATAGTTCTGCTGCTATAGGCTTAGACTGCTGGAGGACATAGGGACCCCTTTTTCATCATTCTGCTTCATTCTATC